TAGTCGTGTCCTCTTTTGGAAGACCAAACAAAGTAGTTTCGCTTTCACAACGAAACTCACAGCGTCTCCACGACATGGCGGCGGCGGTGGCAGCAACAATAAAGTTACGCCTTCTTTCTTTGCGTAAACATTTGGGCAGCGTTATGCAAATCTTTCCTCACGGTGACGTAGACGTGTGGGAGCGTGTTTAAACAAGGCATTTTTAGGAGGGTGTGGACCAGTCTTAACTTTTATAAAGAATATCTCTTTGGATTTGAGACTTTAGTCTTTGCGACTTTAGGGATCTTATCTATTCACGAACAGCTTGTAACACTCCAAAGAGAAAGGAAAACTTGAAATCGCATCATATGACCCCTTTAAATACAACTTCTTTTATTTTAAATGTTTAATGTACACTTTTTTAAATTATTTATTTGGTTATTAATTAATTAATTTGTTTGTTTGTTTATTTGTAATCTAATTTTTCATTTTATTTTATATTCATTTTTAATGAGCTTTTCCTACACTTTCATGGAACGTTTTATTGTTATATTTATTTTATTTATTTATTTGTTTGTTCATTTTTTGGAACCTTAAAGTATTTTGCTTTACATTTTGTACTATTTATTTATTTTTTCAATGGGAGTTTTTAACCTTGGAAATCAGGAATTAGTTTAGAAAAGTGCATGTTTTTAAACAAGTTGAGCAATGTGTCAAAACTTATTTCAGTTTTACATACTTTTGTTTGTGTAATTGCTTGATGTCTATGTATATCTCTGTGTGAAAGTGACACAGATGAAGCAGAAGGAAATGAAACGCACTGTGAGCCATTCACATCATATCAGCTCCAGTCATCAGAGCTAGTTTCTCTCAGTTATCTATCACAGCGGATTCCCGTGAGATTGCACATCTGAATTCCCGCTCACTCTCTCTCTCTCTCTGCAGACAGTAAAGGGAAAGAGGCCGCCGCGCTAAAGGCCGACCTGTTACGTGCCAGAAACATGAAGCGTTACATTAACCAGCTCACAGTGGCAAAGAAGCAGTGCGAGAAGCGGATCCGGCTCCTCGGGGGTCCTAACTATGAGCAGCAGGAGGACGGAGCCCAGGATGAAGGGGACGGTCCACAGAGCCAACGGGTACAGGAAGAAATTACAGTCACAGAAACACCATATCTAAGCCAATATGAAATCACAAATTTATTGAATTATTTTCTGCATCCTGTAGCTGACGTAATGAAATGAGCGGATGTGATTTAAGAACTCTTAAAATGATCAATTTAGATGTTTTTTATGCCATTTTAAGATATTTAAGAATTTTTATGACTGTTTACATACATTTTACAGTTCACACATATGTGTTTAGTGAAACGCTTGCACTGTCGAGCCCTGATATAATGGAGTAACTCTTGTTTTTCTGTCTCTTTTTATCTCTCTGATCAGTGTAGAAGCATGTTATGACAGGAAGCCCTTACTCTATCTGAATTCAGTCGTATGACATGCTGTTGTTGTCCCAGTAGCTCTAGGCCCTAGTAGGCCGTCCCGTCCCACACCGATAGGCCTGTCTCTGAATGTCCCTAATGATCCGGTCGAGAGCAGCACACTGATATGAGGTTCATAGAGCGTGTTGGGTTTCATACGCTAGCTTAGAAGAACACAGAAACCTCAGTGTGTAAAGCTTAAAACATCACTGCATATTGATGAACAGTAGCTGCTTCTTGGAAAAAGGATTTTCTTTGCATTTTTTTTGATGCGAAGCTCCTTCCACAGACTGTTAACTGAGAAAATGATCATGGTTATGACATCATGTCATAGCATTAGGGTGCTTTCACACTTGGTTCGATTGCTTGGTCCGAACCCGAGTTCGATTGCTCCCGCCTCCCCCTGCACCCGCTGGACTGTGTTCAC